ATAACAATCGTTGTGCCTTGTGCGGGTCTTTTGTACAAATCCCCCGCAACCGCTCAAAATAAAATATAAATATTAATATTCCAGTTATGGTTTGGGTTAAGGTTAGAAATGCAGATTGTGCCGAAAATTAAAATTTACAAAACATTTCAAAAGCATTGATAACATGCTTGTCATATCACTAATAGTTATGATGCGCAATCTTTCGGTTTCAAAATTCATAGTGAGGCGATTATATGTCAAAAAACATCGAATTTCTCGCTTCTCATAACGGTTCAAGTAATTATTGGGGGATCATAACACCTTCCATCAAGCCCATGCATCTGAGAGGTGACCGTACATTTGAACCCTCGTACATTTGAACCCATGTGTATATCCGCGGGTTCAATCTGTATGCGGGTTCTAAAACCCATGGGTTAGGATTAGTATGGGCTCAAATATCCGCAAAACAAAAAAAAATCCATAGGTGCAATATATGCAGGAGCAATTGTCGTGGGTTCAAATTTACGGGAACCATCTGAGATAGTAGCTTTCTAGCACATTAGTTATTTTTGAAATTGAGTATTCTTATATTTGTACCCCGCTGGCTATACACAAGACAACGGCATTTTAATATTTCCTAATGGTAGAAAATTGGAGGACCAAATGTTATTGCATTTAAATGTATCATTCAAATAACCTGCCTTATTGGCTGTCCTTCAGATACCAAATTTAGTGATATGACGAACATTTTTTTGTGGTTTAACTATTCTGGCACGCGGATGTATCCCGTATCTTTGATACTTTGATAACGCAAGTGTATCATTTGAGTTTGTTACTGAATACAACATGAAATCGTTCATTTGGTTACTTCATTCATCGTGCGGATGTAAAACGAACACGTAACGGGAAGCGGAGATGTAATGTAGAAAGTACGTGATGTGCATGGAACACAACAAGCATTGAATCATGTTTCGGTTCTCGAATACGTGACAAGTATAAAGCCGAACGATCACGTAATATTATATATTACAAGTCCAATGGTAAAAATTGGGGAATAATTAGCCTTGAATGAGCTAGCGACATTTTATCATCTCCACATGCAGACCCCCGCCTTTCTCACAACTTCAACCTATATTAGTTTAGGATAAATTAACTTGGGCTATTTGCCCATCTTTTCATATTTATCATATTATTTTTGGAAAACCGATTCACGTATTAGGAAATTCAACTAAACTAACTTATCCCAACCTATGAACTGAATCTAAGAAAAGAAATGGAAAATTCTGTGGTGGGCAATAATATCATTACAAATACATAATAAGTGATAACCGTTACATCACAACTGACGTCACAAAATCGGTACGTTAGATGTCGGAATGCGGACATTTCACTCTGTCCAGTTAGGAAGTCAATACGAGTTTTTTATACAATCATCCCACTATGCATTGGACGTTAACACAACACAATGAAATATCTCAAATGTATATTTTAAAAACTACTCAGAGACACGCATACCACACATGCTTTTCACAAACTATTTTTGCATCACATATTTACGACTTTCCAATCGTTACTCCTCTAACAGGCGGTGGGATTCTATATTTACCTTCGTAGAATATCATTTTAAAAATAAATGCTTGTTATTTATTTATTCATCTCCATACCAAACAGAAATACCAAATATTTTGATCAGACCCGCAACGACGATGCAGCTTATATATAGAATAATCCTATTAAAAATTACGTGTATAGCCGTGTGTATTTCTGGTAAAGTCCTATTATATATATGTTGAAATTTCGGTGGGTGGCCGAGTAAACAATTCCTTTGCGGAATTTGATTGTTCGATTTTATAACATTCATTAAAGAGATATATAAAGATGTAACATTTGCTTTCACAAAATGCTACTATAAAAATTCTACAATGAATTGCTATATAGAATGTTAAATAGGTAAACGCGGACCGTAGAAATTGCTACTGTCAAACAAATACGTTTCCATAAAAGAGCTATTTTGTGTCTTTGCCTGAAGTCAAATATTGCCTGAAATATTAGACAATGAAAAACACAATTTATTTAATTTCAGCGTACTATTTAATTTGATTGGCGTATAGTTAATGCTTGGTGCGCAGGATCTTTCAATCTATGTTGGTGTCGCATATGTCACAAGGTTATGTCCGGCATATAGTCCACGGCGTAGAAACCAGGGTATACAGGCTCTATGACAGAGCATAAAGATATCGGTAATTACATAAAGCATATCAGCTTCTCTATATAACAGCTTTACTGGAGATCTTCTTTGAGCAAAAGTATATCTGATAGAATAGTTCTGCGAAATTATTAGAGCTTCTTCTTTGCAGAATTAACTATTTTTTTTGCAAAATAATTTAGCTGAAACAGTTCTGAATAAAATCTCAAACACAAAGAGTTTGGTCCGAATATTCCTAAATCGGCTAACACATATTTTTCAATCAATTTACTTAACATGATTGGGGCGGGTATATAAATCCTGTTAAAGGAACGTCATTTGAATATACTTCCGTACCTTGAGTGGGTAATGTATTGTGTGCGTTTCTCCTAATTTTGTCTGTGTAAATAACAGAGGGCTGAACCGCTATAGCACGAATTCTAATATTTGTTTTCCAGTGAGTTTTTGGTTAATTATAATATTGGCGTTCAAGCTATGTATACAGGCAGGCCCAGTAGAATATCAGTCTTTTTTCGGACCTTCTGAAGTATGCGCACCAAGATGACGCACAACCTGAACTAAGGTTGTGTACCACGCAAGGGTTCAGGTTATGCGACATCTTTGTGCGCATACTTCAGGAGTACCCTTTTTTCTTTATGTATATTCTTAATTTGTGGCTTTGGACTTAGAAATAATTTAAGCTTGCGGCAAAGCTAATGGATGGGGTTAGAATGAGTCAAGTATTTAATTAGGAATAGGGGATTGATATGTGGTCCGAATAGACATTTGAATAGAGATCCTAGACCTAGGATGCTGTTACTATATATGACTTTAGTTCAAGTTAACTTTTTTAGTGTTTAGAAATTCAGCTTAAAGCTCGACATACCCGCTGTGCTATAAATCGGATAATCGGGTATGTCGAAGTATATAGGTTCCATACATTTGGAAAATATAGTAGCAACATGCATACCGATGCGGCTCGTCTGGAGCTCTTTGTGGCAGATGGCTGGAAGTGGCGATAGAAGCAAAGCATTTTACATTTAAAACTTTCAGTTACATGGGTTTGGCGTCAAGGCGCATTAAACAACAATGAAGTTGTGAACCGCATGTGATAATCAACAAAATACCGATTGAAATACCAAATGACATGTCACAAGTTGGTATACGCCTTTTATCTGAAGGATAACAACTTAAATGCCATGTTGTTTTCAGTAAAACTTGAGCAATAGCAGAAAATGCCAATTATGGAACCAGTGAAGTGCGTCTTATGCGTTATTACGTCTAAATTTTCACTTATTACGACAATAATAATAAATAACTTATACCACTAGATTGCAATCAATGAGAAAAAGCATTCTTCGCAATTTTTATGCAACAAATTATTCTATATCAAGTTATATCTATTTCAAGGTGTTTTGCTTCAATCAATCACTTTGTAAAGAAAGTCAATAAAAGTAGCGATATTGTCAAATCTTTCGAGTAAATGCCAGATCGTGTTTCTGCTCTTTGCTAACGCTAGTACCGTCCACTCATGGTGATGGATTTCTTTTGACCGTAATTCTGTGGTTTGCACCTGCACTTGGCAATATCAAGTATATTCTTTATATCAGTTTATCAGGACAAATGAATTATTGCATAGAGCATATATCTCTTTTATTAACAACACGGGACGCAAAACAAAGACAGAACTCCTACATCGAATCGTCTGAGTAAATACCAGATCGTGTTTCCGCCGCCTTATATAGGTTTGCTTTGCGATAACGCTAGTACCGCAACTCGTGACTATCAGGTTTATTTAATATTGATGGATTTCTTTTGGTCACAATATTGTGGTTTGCACCTGCACTTGGGTATATTAAGTATCAGCTTACGAATAGGCGGATAAGCGAAACTGAATTTAAAAACTAAATTGTTGTTTTGCTTTGCGATTCAAGAGTCCTGCTGCACGCTAATACAAATGTACACAGAATACAGAAATACATTTGTGTTATAGTGAGCAGCAGGACTCTTGAATTGCATGATATGGTATTTTTATTTTCGACACAGCATCCTTGCATTATACGTATACGGATCCAATAGAGCAAAGGTATTGAGGAAGGGTTGGGAGTAGTGTCGCGCAGCCTCTACTGATAGTTGTTCCTCGTTATGTTGTAATATGTGTCACTCTTTATGACATCACTATCATTTGGAGAATTATCTTCAACTAACGCAGGATTTTTTGTAAAAAGCTACCGCCACCAATGCAAAAATGTGAGATTTGTGTAAAACACCGCGGCCACGTTTTAAAACAGGAAATTAGTAATTATTCAGTTAGAGTTATGATTTGTGTTGAGAATGATTTGAACATTTGAATTTTCAGCGCAATCTGGATTTAACTAGATAGTTACTAATTTGTTCATTTTGAGTGGTGTCGTGGGTGCTTGTACGAAATCCCTCTATCACCTTTCAACAGCATGTACGGATTAAAATTACGACGAAATGCTAGTTAACAATTAACTACTGACGCATTTTAACAGGATTGAAGAGTGTGTCCGTTTTTTGACTTACAAAGTACCGCGCTTCAGACGTATGTGTACCAATGGGGAGGTAACTAATTTTGTTCGCCTACTTTACATCAAGTTGTGTAAAGGGACGGAAGCCTATGGGTATATTTTTACTTGCCTATCACAAACAGTCCCCGAACTCGTAATAGAACTAAAATAATCGGAATAAAATTATGGCCTAACCCTAATCTGGTACACATACTACGGGAGTACCTAATTTACTTATTACCGATTGAGTAAATCGAATCAACGTTGAAACATTGAAATTTAACAATATTTTGTACTTTTTACAGCAATAATAATTTACTTTTAATTAATACTTGTGAGCTATGAAGCTTACTGGATAAATTGCGGTAAAATGGAAACATAAAACCAGATATGCATCCGATGCGCAAGCTACTTTACCACCGAGGAGTTGACGATCACATCGGGACTTACGTTACCGATTATGTCTACTCTGGAGTTTGTTTTCTACTTTGTATTCAATTAATTGTACGAATATGTCGTCAACGAAAAATAATGACGTCAGAGCAACGTATGACGTCATCGTGTTGTAAAATTTCAAACTGGTTGCCATGGAACTGGCCAAAAGAGAAACCGACTGCTATTGGTATTTCAACATATGCTGTTTTACTGTTCGGGTTTTCTAACTTTGTGATGATGTTGCTCGGAGGCTTAACACATCAGTTCTTGCAAACGGTATGTTGGACTTAGTTTTATAATTTACTGGGCAAGTGAAATATTGTTCAAATTTTGCAGTGTTTCTACATACTTTTTGAATTCAAGCAACTAATCATGAATTCGTAAACCAATTCATCTGTGAAGTTAAGAAATATTACTAAGCTTTTTCTATTGTGTTTCAAAATTTAGAAATTAAATATTCATATAGCATTCTGTTTATAAATTTATATACTCTGAAAAATGAATGTGTTGAAATTTTTGATCTTGTCTGCGAGATAGGTACCCATATCGAAAATTAATATTATTCATTGAAAACAACATACAAAACGTATTTCTTTATTTGATCTCCATATCGACATATCGAACTATGATTTTTTCATCTTCTTTTTTAATCAAAATTTACTTTCAGGTCGAACCCTACAATGACGATATCAACAATTTATGGGATTGGTTAATAATCTGGAGAGTTGGCTCATCTTTTTCTGCCATTGTTTGTTTTAGTCTACTGATAATGACAGAACAGATGGTAAATATAATTTGTACATATTTATGTAAAATGAAATACAAATGTGAAATTCAGTTCATTTTATTTGAAGAATATTGAATAATCCACTTTCTAAAATAACGAAAATATTGAAAACTATCTTTTATATCAGGGGTGTGCAATGGGCGACCCATAGTCGATAACTCGTGGCCCGCCAAGCCATTTAGTGCGACCCTTTTCCCCATCGAGTATAAAGTCGTTCACACCGGTAAATATACGTAATTTTACTTTTCTTTTTTTGCTCCATTAAATCTTTTGCCGTTTTTCCCTGCTGGTATCTTTATTACTGTAAAGCTGATCGATAGCCGTATTCTATTTTTTTTATGTGGCGCAGCTAAATGTCTGAAGTTGGTTATATGACACAACCCTGTTCCATACGTATATTTCCTACAAAATTTTCTAATAGAAATCTTTACTCCGTGTTATAAGTTCCCCGATTTAAGATGATGTAGGATGGTAAGCATGGATTTCATCTAAAATATTCAGCTTAAAATAAAAACATATTCAGTTTGGCGTCTGCGGTATCAAAATTTTACTAATTTCGCACCAATTATTATTATTTTTAATAATGATTTGGTTTTTATAGCGTGTTTATGTCTCCGCTACAAATTACATAAATGATTACCCAAAATATTCGTTTCACAGACTTTTTCGTAATTGAATTTTCGTAAATAATAATTGCATAATTCAATTTTTTAATTTTCGTTTTTGCAGATAACTCAAGAAAGAGTTTTTCGAATCCCACACACAATTCGTGTTGGTTATTACATCATAATTTTTGCAACAGGGGTCTGTTTCTTCGGAATCAATTATATCCCGCTAACCGGCAAAGTGAAGGATCCGTTCAGTATAAGACAAACTTTTACTGTTACATTTGGAGGTAAGAGCACGTTAAAGTTTGCTGATACTACGGTTTTATTACCGATACCTGTGTAACCTGTCTGCAGAGCGTCAATCGCGTACATACAACGACCAAATTTATTGCCTTCATGTCATTTACTAGGCCTCACTAACGGAAGTAGGGTTGTTTTCTAATGTAGATACTTTTGAAAAGAAAACATTGTTTGACATAGTTTTACTGTTATACATTTGGAGATACGAACACGTTGAAGTTTGTTGATTCTTGGATTTATTGTCATATACTTTTTAACTGCATCACAAATGAATGGAAGCGTCAATTTTGAAAATACAACGACCACATTCATTGCTTTTATAGCATGTTTTACTCAGCAAAACAATTTTTAAGTGAGAAAGCAATCTTAATGCAATTCTAAAAGTAAATTGTAATAAAAAGTTTTACCGTTACATTTGGAGGTGAAAGCATGTTAAAGTAGGCTGATACTACGGTTTTATTGCACAGACATGATAACTGCTTGCAGTTAGTCACAAATGGTAAAAATGCTTTGTACCAGTATATACATACAACGACCATATTTTTCGCATTTATATTATGAGAGCAGCGGAACATAGATATTTTTGAATAAAAACATTGTTTGACAAAGTTTTGTTGTTACATTTGGAGGTACGAACACGTATGCTAATGCTTCAGTTTTATTACCCCATAAATTTAACTTCCTGCAGTTAGTCACAAATGAATGAATGTTTTATTCGCGTACATACAACGACCACAATGATTGCATTTTTTTAAAACGTAGATATTTTTGAACAAAAACATTATTCAAAAAAGTTATTTGGGGGTAAGAGCATGTTATAGTATGCTCATGTTTTGGCAATATTATCAAATACATTTCAACTACCTGCAATGAGTCGGATAAAAGCGTCAATCGCGTACCTACAGTGACAACATTTATTGGTTTTATACCATTTACTATGCTTACTTAGTGCAGCAGAATTTTTATTTTATTTTTAAAGCAAAAACGTCCTCAAAAAGAAGAAGTATTCTGACTGCAATTCTAAAAATAAAATTTAAAGTCCGCAAGCATCTTTTTAGTTACATTTGCTCCAGTAATGATCACCTATAGCCCTCAAATAAATTTTCAAAGTTTACGATCGTTACAAGCGAACAATCGTTGTTATCGATCGATCGAGTCGTGTTAAAAATTTAAATTGTTTGAGCAATCTTCTTTCTTAACCCTAACCGGATAATTACAAATTTTTTTATTTTGAACGTTGGCGAGAGTGTTTTTATTTTGATGTTTTTTTTTTCTTGGCAGGGCGTTTTGTTAGTAGGGGCGTGTTTTTAGTGAGGGCTTTGTACAAAAGATAGCTATAAATACGAGAAATCAGCAAACACATATCACGATATACTTTCTGAGACTTATACATGATGAACTGTTACAAACACCCTTCTTCATCATTGTGTTTCATTCGAATATAATTACTGGAATTATTTTATTGCAGTTGTAGTTCTTAACGGCATTGCTGCTCTGATTGTAGTTGTCTATCATTCCTGCCATAAAACCACAAGAAAGACAACTCGCCCATACTCTACTGAATATGAAGGAAGATATTCTCCGTCGCATTCGCTGAATAGTAATTCTTTTTGTGGTAAGTAGAGGAATTGCAGATAGGTTACAGACTTAGTAGTAGGATACTGCTTCAAATCTGGTCCGGTATACCTATGTTTAAGCTAAAACTTAAATTGAGCAGAGTAATGTATTAACAATTTAAATAAGTACAATCGTATCAGGAGACAATAAATAATTACACATCGTCAAATATGTTTACATATATGTAATTCACGCGAATATTCGATCTTTATCGCTATTCAAGTAATCGAGCCCTATGTTACATTCTAGACTTCATTAGGACATGTTATTTTGCATTATAGCCTTAATTTGGCTCAAACCTCATTCTCAACTACAACCAACGACGTGTAATTAAAATGAGTAAGTACTGCCTAAGCGGAAGGATTCCCATCATTTTCAAAATAGTAACCCTATACGCTCAAGTGACCGCTAGATCATAGATCGAGATAAAAGTGTGAAAATGCACTTGTGTATTCCACAAATGCCTATAGTTCTTTTAACAAAATTAATCTGATAGTTTCTGATAACGAACTACACAATCAATACTAATAGGTTTGGCAGGGAATGCTTATCCAAAAAGCAGAAACTTCCTTACACTTCAAAGGCTGCTTGGAGTTACACTTTTCTTTCTCTACTTTCGTTCTTAATTTGTTCGTGCCTTTCCTGTCTTTTCTTTTTCATTTTTCTTTCATTTTCGTCTGGCAAATGCATATAGCTACTTTAAGAAAATAAGCAAATCATTTCTGGTATCTAACTATATATATCCTTATTTTTCAGACGATCGGTCTATCTTGGGTTTTCTGTCTTGTAATGGATCAACTAATAGTCACCGTCAGGTCAGGGATGACAAACGCAAAAACCGCAGAAGATTGGAATTGTTTGCGATGACTTTAGCACCCTGGGTGTTCATAGTAGCGGGTGAGATATCTTAAAATTTATATGTTTTTTCAAACTTAAATTTTGATCCAATACGCTTTACTTGGACGTTAACTTTAGTTATGATGTAAACTCAGAGGGTGCTACTCTGTTAAAAAAAATTAAAATGAAGTTTTTAATGGGTATTATTATGCACTTGAAACTGCTATATACAGAGAGTAAATTTCGATCTGAGGTTTTGAAATAGTGTACTGCTACAATGACATTGGTTGTCCAGTCGTGAACACAGTTTTGTTGTCGGAAAGAATGATACCATTTTTCAAAGTAATTTTAATTATTATCTAAATGCTGGATAGATTATCCAGAGATCTCTATTAAAATGCCGTATTTTTAAAGGATATTTCTACTATCTTATTACTAATTTATATAAATAAAAAAAAATTTTTGTTAGAATGTATTTCAATTTGCTATTATTTATTTGTAAGAAACAATCATGCGAAAACTGATTGTAAGACATTCCAGAGAATTTATTGACAAACGGCCTAATTACCTTAAACGTAAACCATTATCCAGATTTCAAAACTAACATGGGCTAACTACGACCTGGGAGCCGAATCCAACCCGTTTGGTAATTCAATCTGGCCCATCTGATGCTGCCACAACCAAACCAAAACCAATTTTTGATGTTTTAGCTAAAAAATAGTTGGAGGATTTTGTTGAGATTGCGATTAAATTTAGTTTTGGCTCGAGGCATATTGTTTTCCGCCATTGCTTTTGTGACACTGTAACTTCTTACGTCCCACTTACATGGCCCGTCAGGCTAGGTGGGCAAAATGTTTAGCCCCTGGTCAAGAATTTTTGCCCACACCTGCTAGAATGTATTTCATGATATCTTTTCTATTGTATGACTCCAGATTGGTGCAAAAAAACTTTTTTTATTCTAATTTCAGGCGCAGCAAACCACTTTATGAAATCGACATGCGCCGATTCGGACGCTGCTCATATTGAACTTGGATGTCCTCTACCGGATTCATTTAACCACAACGCAATCATGCATGTAATGCAAATCGTTTCGGCGATTTCATTTTTTGTTGCGGAGAACATGGCGATCACAAGACGAAGTCAAATGAACGCTTCAAACATCAAAAGAGTGGCTACGTCATCGACAATTTATAATGACGTCATTAACAGTTCTGACATCCCAGATGACAAAGATCGTGATGTCAAGAATAACAACAACAACAATAGAAACGATGACGTCATTCAAAACGTCATAAAACAACCAGAAGTCATAATCATACCGGAGCTGGAGGAAACCGAAAGGATGAAAATACCAAAGTTTCCAACCAACCTAAATTATGAAACGTTATCAACTAATAATCGACATAGTTTGTATGATAATCTATCCAACGTGCAGGTATAGTTTCGTCCTTTCCGTCCATTTGTAGTGGTACGTATTTCTGCGATTGGTAAGAGGTTGGTAAGGTCTCTTAGGCTAATATTTGTTCCCCCTTTCCGTATTCCAAAACCGCTGTTGAAAGCAGATTTCTTAGTATACCGTCTCTTGGGGGTAGTCCTTGTGCTGTTAGCATGAGGTTTCATATAGTTTATCAAGATACTATTATGAAAGAACAATTTACACATTATGCCAATGTGCACAAATCTATAAATAACAAATATATGCAAAATTGCAGGAGTTACAACCATGACAATGTTGCCATAATATGTTATTATTATATGAATTTTCTCTCTTAAAGTTCCAACATTTTAATTTTTGTTTTATTTGTTGAATTATGTGCAATATATTAGTCATGTTTCCATTAGAAATCTTAAAATTATTTAATTTTTTTCTCGTGTAAGTAACGTACTCTAACTGTTTCTTGTATTTGAAATGGAGCAGATTGAAAATTATTTTATGGGGTAGTGTTTTGAACATTTCTCACAATCTCGACCCGGTAGAATGGGTCAATTATACCCATGGAACTACGAGAGAAGTTTCAACCAGAGGTCACTAGTTATACTGTAAGAAAAGAGTATTATTATGTTAGACTTACCATACCCCTATGTCGGAGTTATCTAAAAGCACAGTCCATGAATTGCATATAATATATAATAAAATAATAATATCTGGTGTTACTTGCCAAAATTTTAATTCAAACTTCAGTGGTATATAAAATATTGACAATTCTATTTTCTCCATGAGTGACTTCGTAAGCTTATTTATAACAAGATCTTGCAAATCTGGTCAATATAAACAGGAAATGACAATATAAATTTTTCCAATTTTTTAAATGTTTTAGCCATATTTGCGCAGACATTGAAAACATTGGCAAAATTTTTATTATTTGCTTCTCATCGGTTCAGCATTCGCTTACTATTATTAAAGTTTGATTTAGGCTTATTTGCGTCTACAAAAAACGTTATTTCATCGAACTAAATTAAACGTATTATAATGTTCCAGCATATGAAGTATTATTTTATTATCATTACTAAATAAAATATCTATATTTTCCGCTTGTTTGAGTTTTTGTCGACTTTTGAATTGATACTACAGGCAGTGGCATCGCGCAATTGTGCAACCGATAATACGTAGCAGAATTCGTAAGGACCGGGTAATTAAAATGGCTAGTTTGTTTACCGAAGCTATTCGTATATCTCAAATGAAACTCGATACAGACTTGTATTTAACATATTTATATTCGTTGCAAGTTTATCGCTATAAATTAACCGAATCATGTCAATCAAGAATTCTAGAAAAGATAAGATTTCACATTCAGGTCTGGCCAGTGTCTAAGCTCAATCTCTCACAGAATGAGAAATAATAAGTTTGATGACATATATATTTCGGCAATGTTTATCTGATTTAATAATTAAATCTCGTCCAGTTGATGTAAAAATGCAATTTAATTCTGATATATTTAAGCCACAAAACCCCACTTAATTAAGCCTATTTGTCCATTTACAATATATCGCGTGCATGAAACGGAATTACGAAAAAATTCTTCATCATAAAATTGGGTAGATGCAAACTATTCAGTGACACTGTCAAATTGTCAACAAACAACATTGAAAAATAATTTCTGCGTTCAGGTGCATTTTTAGAGCAAAAGTGTCAAAGGTCAACTTTGGTGTCGAACACACGCAGACTATCAGGTGTTCTATTTCACATATAAGACATTGTTACTTAGCTTAAATTCAAAAAAGACATATGTTGTATTTACTCAGCTATACAAGGGTTAATATTTTAAATCGAACGAGATTTTGCGGTAAAATACTTTTTTGGGATAATCTTTCCCTTCTTTGTTGCGGTCTGAGCGTATTTGCCGATTTGTTCTGTGTTGACAAGCGTTTGTCGTCAGTTTCTCAGGTTTTGAGCGTAATGGTGCTAAGGATGTTTACGTAAGATTACAATTGGCTTATCCCAGCTAAGACTGGGGGCTGGGTGCCGTATAACAACTCTCCGCACTGAATGATGGTATTTAAATTTTCATCGATTTGTTCCGATGAGATAATAAAAAACATGATTTCGCAATTAAACACAATGCATTATTGTCTATTATTTCATTCCTTTCACGCGATGCCACTTATATATGTAAGCAGATAATTTTTTATAAATTTACAAAGAAATACAAGTCTTTTGCCTCATTTTGTTCTACATTGTCTCATTTACCGATGGTTACTCTGAGCAAGAGATTAAACAAGCAGTCCTGACTTGTGTATATCGAAGTTAAACATCTAAATGTGTTGAGTTGGTTTGAAGTTTATTGTTCATCTTTGAACGACGCTTATAAAAACGCTAAATTTAAAATGATATCTTCGCATATGTTAGCTTTCAAATTTAATTGCGTCATCAAAAAAGAAAATCTTAATTAGAATTTTAATTAAGTAGTATTTAAGCCCAAATTATTATATGAAATAAACTTAAATATTTTTGATAGGTGTTCAGCTGTGCAATAACAAAAAGGCAATTTTTCGCCATTAAGTTCAACCAACGACATGCAAGAATAGATATTTCGAAGTTGTTTGTCATAACAAATATCACAACCGTGACAAAAGAAGCGTGTCAATCGTACCCAATCGCCAGCTTAAAAATGAATACTTGAAATTGATAAAAGCAATGCATTTGCGACCTTATTAACTTTCGTCAAAAATGGACATTCGTATGTGTTTATTGCTGGGTACTCTCGTAGTGTGTGTACCAGGTTAGGGTTGGGCCATAATTTTATTCCGATTTTCCTTTTTTTAATTATAATATGAGTTTGGGGACTGTCTGTGTTATCCAAGTATATCCCCTGCCCATAGGTATCAGTCCCTTTACACAACTTGGTCTAAAGTAGGCGAACAAAATAAGTTACCGCCAAATTGGTAACTTCTGAAGCTCCTTAAAAAGAATACCTAAATTTAGGAAAGGAATGGATATATTTGCGACCTGAATAAATTTTGTCTAAAGTGGTTATTTGTATGCGTTGAATGCTGATGGCCTATTTAGATTTTATAAAATACTTTAATTAATGTTGGTATTGGGCTTGCTTCTGGGGTTTACATAATTTTGCTGATTAGAACAAAGTTCGGTTTGGTGCAACCAGTTTTGCGTCGCAATCACACCTCAGAAAATGAACCCTCTTAATTAAACTAAGAGATAGTCAATGATATTCTCAGCTTTCCCAAAAAAAAAAAAAATTTGTTGTGTGTGTTCATGTAACATGCTGTGGCTAATTATAGTACATCCTCGGATTCGAAGTTACATGCGTTCAACGACCAGCACTTAATTGCGTTGTATTGCCTGGATTATTATTTCCTTATTACTTAGCACCATTGAAATTTGAAGCCAAATTTATTTGTCACCTCACAGAACAAGAGCTTTTGCATTCAAGTTTAAGCTGTTGTTGAAGCTCGCAAGTACACGGGATAATATGTACTTACTTACTTATGCTACTTACTACTATATGTACTTACTTACTTACTTATGCTACTTACTTACAGTGCAAGATCGAAAGAATATTTTAATAAATGAGTTGACCGATCACGCACGTCACTCTATACCAGGGCTTTCCAAACTTTTAATATAGATCGCGGCCCCTTTCAATATAGTTAAAATTTTCGCGACTCCCTGTTCCGAGAAGCGCGTCGCTCCTCAGATCTTACGAGCAAAGTCGACATTATTTTGCAAAAGTGCGCTTCTCTGGTCCTATCTATTTTTTTGAAATCGTGAGATTTATGTTTTGCACTAATTTTAATAATTGTGTTTCGAATTAAACGTCTAAAAATACAATGTGTGAAATTGGTGTACTCTTTGCGGAGATCCGACTCCTATTCTAAACCAATTTTCTCCAAAACTGAGTTTCGTCTCTTTTTCAGAGTTTAAAATCATCCCAGTTGAACAATAACGGGAATTTGCCCAAATCTGGGTGTGGTTCCAAGAGAAATGGTATGTCCACAGGACTACTAAAAATCTAAAACTACAAAACAGAAATACTGCATGCAAAAAAAGGTCAACGGCGTAGCGGTCCAATCTGGTTATTTTTATTACACTACTCTCCTTTATATATTGTTTATATTTATAGGCTTATAGAGAATAGTCATTTGACATTTAGTCCTATTTAAGGTACCTTGAATCTAGTTTTGCCAATTTTCTCACTACTGCACGATTTAACAGGCAATTGACTTTCAATGACGGAAGTATTTGCTTCTTGCGGTCACCACTTACACGCTTTTTATGCCGAGGCTTGCGTCATTTGCGCGCCACTTTCCCAGCATTATGTTTATTCAATAACATTGGCCACGTTTGGTTACAAATAACTTTGTATATAGTACCAGGCCAAGTATTCAAACATAAGGAGTAATGCAGTTTGTTTTTTAACGTGGTATTGGGCTATATATGAAATTCATAAATTAAATTGTGAAGTAATGAGTGCGTGGGATCGGAAGTGGATTCGGCGCAGCAGGGTTTAACAACATGAGAATGAACTGTGCTTCGTACAAACTCAAGGGTTCATCAACGTAGGGTTTTATCGAATGACGTTGTTGATTGTTGTTGTCAAATTTACAGATTTAAATATGGAACTATCATGTTGGGATTACGCAAAACTAACTACCTTTTCTTGCTCTATGCCTTTGTGGAAGTGGATCCGTTTGCGTGTAACGCAAGGATGCTGTGCCAAAGATGACTATACTATTTGATTTAGGAGTCTTGCTGCACACAATCAAATAATTTAAAAGACCTTTAACTTCATTTTTTTTCAAAATGCGGCAGCAAAATTTAATACATACTTGTTGGGCAACGAGTATTGTCTAGTCCCGACACGGTCTAAATACGGCGCGTTGGATAATTCAATTGGGGAAAAAAATTGCTACAACTGATGCTACTACAACCAAACTAAAACCAATTTTTGATGTTTCAGATAAAAAAAAAATAGCTCAAGGAACTTGTTGAGATTGCGATTAAATTTAGTTTTGGCTTGTTGTTTTCCACTTTTGCTTTTGTAACACTGTGAATATTGTTCATAAAATGTAACCTTCCACGTCACACTTACATCTTACATGGCCCTTCAGTATAGGTGATCATCGCTTGTTCCTGTTGGGCAACGAGTTTTATCTATTCTATTAAACCTATAATGTCTTGAAAATATAATTATCTGTATCAAACTCCTTCTTTCATTGTATTGTCTAGTCCTGAGAGGGGCAAAATAAGGCCGCGTGTCAAATTCGGTTAGATGGGTAATTTAATCTGGCCCTCCTGATGCTGCTACAACCAAACTAAAACCAAATTTAAAATAAAAAATGGCTCAAGGCATTTGTTGTGATATGCGATTAAATGTTGTTTCGGCACAAGGCTTATTGTCTTCCACTTTTGCTTTTGTAACACTGTGAATATTGTTCAAAAAATGTAATCTTCCTCGTCACACTTACATCTTACATGGCCCGTCAGTATAGGCGGGCAAAAATTTGGCATCTGATCCAAAAACCTTGCCCACCCCGGGTATAGTTTATCAAACCGATGATATGGTATGATTATCTGTCCAACCTCTATGAATTTATGTGTTCGCCCGTAATTTTCTCAGAGATGAATTGCCTGAACTTTTGAATAAGTACACCGAGAGATCTTGGTTGAAGTTTACAAAACAAAATCAGTTGTTCCGAAATATATGGCACGAGAAAAGTCTAACTAAACTAAAAACTGTTGATGATTTTGCAATCATTCATTTGCAATCAAGATCACCTTGCAATTTAAATCGATATCGATGAAAATAAAAAAGAATATTATAGACTTCATACAATGCTAAAATCACGAAAAAAACATTAAAAAAGATAAAACATTAGGGGGACATTTCTAATTAGCTATAAAAAATAATTAATCAAAAATAAAAGAGTTTTGTGTCTATACATTAAACAATAACGACACGAGCATAAATAATTTTGGATAAAGATCCGTGAGTTCAAGTGTTATTCAAAAGGCTACTAGAATTGATTAAATTAAATTATTAAATTTAGAGTTTTTCTTATTTTGCAAAT